CTAGGACAGGACAAACTGAAGATTCGTACATTGTCTATTTGTTTAATCTTTGAGAAAATATTTGAATCTTTACATGACAAATTTGCTGGCCACAGGGAGAACATTTTATAATTGTATAATTTATTAGCAATATCTATCATGCTTCTAAAGAAATGCCCACAATTTCATTAGGTGAAGACATGTGAGAACAGTGTGAGTATAGCTATTCTATAACTATTTAGACCTTCCTATTGATGAGGTTAAGATGTAAAAACATAACTATTTGCTTATTGACAAAATGTCTGGGCGGGACCCTTTCCGTGATATCGAATTAATAAGAGCCCCTGCCTGTTGTATGACGGTAGCTATATGGAAGAGTAATAAGCACTTATCGAATTCTTTGAACAGTGATTGATTTTCCTTTAGATAAACTTAACTTTAATTGAAAATACTTTTATTTACGCAAAGGCAGAGTTGCACATAAAGCATGCGTTGTATAACATATACTATAGCCAATCGGTTCGGAAGAAAACAGCTACAAAACAAACGTTTTATACCTGTTTCGGTACGTACGTTTCTACGCCGTACAGTTGTTGAGTGATTTCTTCCCTATGGATATACTATTTATATGGAATAGCGTTGCTATGTGAGTACAACGCAATGATTGCATTTGTGGCTGTGTTGTCTTTACTGGACAGCCCGAACAGGGTCAAACGGGTTTGCCTTAAATAAGTGAAAGATGAAGTACCCAATTTTAAAAGCAATTTTCGCCCTATTTCGCGTACACGAATAGGCCCCAGAGGCTCTCATCTGAACTTTTTTTGCTTGATATTCTCGGATGAATTACGAAATGAACGCAGATGCCCGCAGCGTGCGCAGAAGATGGGCTGATGCTGCGAACTTACTTGCAGTCTTACCTGCATTCATAAGCATTTTGGTAAACGCTTAAAACTCAGGAAGTGCTTCGATAATCGTTTGTGAATACGTCATTGTATAAAGTAATATTATGTATAATTTGTTTTTGTCACGGAGAAAAATAAAAGGATTTGATGGATAAGAATCGAACTGGCAAAGCGTGAGGTGGTCATATCGGAAGTGTGAAACACCTGTAAATATCACTTGTTGACCAGATTTTTACAAGGGAAAACGATTAGATTTTATATTCAGTTCAGAGTTATAGTTAAATCCAAGTTGGAAATTTAGTGGTACACCCGAATTCAGTTTTCAGGTTCTTCCAATAGCCATTTTCAAGCTGTAGTTCCGTTCACTAAAAAGCTGTGACGGGAGTGGCCTAGGAAAAAAAATTTTTTGAAAGAATCCAAAATCCTGCCAGGTTTTTCATAACCGCGTATCATTTTCCCCATACGCCCACCCACAGAATTATGATAAACAAAATGTATTGAGGTCCTTCTCTGGTTAATAATTGTATAGTTAACCTGCACAGGTAAATTGCCAGGACACTCTTTGTATAACTTATAGCACACTCCATTGGTGAAGATTTTTGCGTTCCACGCTTAACAGCACGTGATCGTTTGTTGGGTACTGTAAAATGATAGTGGGTCCTAAGTTTTTATTTGAATTTTCTATCAAAATACATCACAATATTTAAAATGTCAGTTTATTGATTTTTACACAAAAAAAATTTAATGGGCTTGCGACAACACTACAGACTCTTGTTGTGTTTCTTTCCTACGGGACTCAGGAGAATACATTTATACATATACATAGTGTAAGATTTACCTAGCTACTCACGAAAAACGAGGTCACAACCTAAAGTACGGAAAAAGCCATTTAGCTTTCAGCGTTAACCACTGGATCTGCGTCTGCACTACTGCGGCGGAAGATTGTTTGCTAATTCAACAGAAATCAAAAATGATCGCGGAGTGTCCAGAAACCCTGGCGGGAGTGAGCTCTTGATGATCCATCATGCTTTTATTACTATCATTGGTCACGACTGTCTTATAGCTACATTTATATTGGAGTTTCTTTAACATTATTTAGTTGTTAGACGATGACGGTCTAGTAAATTTCTGATTGCGTGACGTCCTGTGTCGTGAATTGTGTCCTGAAATTGTCGCACTGCCGGAATGAGCAAAAATTAGAGGAATAGGGGGTCCAGGGTTGGATAGGCCGGTCGAATCGTTCATCCATTTTTACTTTTTATTAAATTCTTTTATAAGATTGTCATGTGGTTAGGCGAACCATGCCACCCACAGCTAACCCCTGCCGAGTGTTTAGCATAGAGTAGCATGCGATATGCGGAACGTTTATCCAAGGCCCCTCTAGTAGAAATCGATAACCTTCAAATAAGGTTGGTTTTTAAAAAGACCGACTTATTCCAAGCGGCATTAAGCTTTGAAGGAAACTAACTTCGTTTGCTCTACTACGAACACAGCAGCCGACCGCTGGAAGGTCATTCATTGTAACCTTCCCGAGTTGCAGAAAGAGTTGTACCGCAAAGTTAGAATAGTGAGCTCAAACAGGAGGTATACGAATAATTTTTCAACTCCCGAACGAGATATTGCGTTCAGTTTGTCCTATCGTACGGGCTATATGAAAACTTGACCTACATGCCTCATGTGTACAGGTTCCGAGAGATGCGTATCGTATTCAACGAAAGCGACGTAACGAAAGGAATTCTCTAAAATATTTCAAATGAATCGTCAGTCTGGTTTTTACGTATACAGCTTTCAGTGGGTGACAACGAAGACTATGTGATTCAGTGTTTAAAAGCGAGGTCGACGGTTATATGGCTGCCTTAGTGTCGGTAGGCAATCGCTGAACGTGTGCACATCCACAAGCGTCGTACATCACATTAATGCTGCTTTACATTTATATTTACATAATATATATGTTGCCATCGAAAAGATTTTTAATACTTGCTATTTTGACTTGTTTGCGTTTTCCTGTGTTTCTAAAGAGAGACCGATAAGTTAAGCAGTTAAAACCGTCGGTGTACAAGAAAGTAATGAAGGCTGATAGCAGAGTTTCGATAATTCTCTATCGGCATTACCGGTAGAGGATTATCGAAATGCATGTTGTCTATGGCGTCAAATAAATATATATATACATGTGTGTGTATGGGAAGGCCATGCACATAACTTACAGTGCGCTACGGGACGAGGGCGTGCAGTTAATTTGGTACATCTCTAAGTTTTCATCTTTGGGAATTTGAACGATGAGAGAGCGGCAGTTTTGGAGTAAACGCGCAAGATATACCTCACGCCTTCACGCGTCCATAGTACACTTGGGAAATTAGTCGCACAACGAAAAACCCTTCGCTGAAGACTTTTGAAGGTTCAGTTATCGCAGCAAAAGACTTCTACATCTTTATGAAGATAAATGGATAAACGGTAGCATAGGAGAGAAACATCGGTTCAGTTGATGACCCCGAGCTGAATGTAGAAGTTTTAGACATTGCAATCGCTAATTGTGACGTGAAACGACGGAACTTTTCGGCAATTAAATTTTTAAAGAAAATACGTTATTTATCAGGAAACACTGAGCGTTACTTTGCAACATATAGTATAGCGATGCTGGGAAATCAGGAATTGAAATGCAGTGCGATACTCGATAGCATATCTGACATTGGGAACAAGAAGTTTTGCCAACTACGTGATTGGCCACCTATCCTTAGCGGGTGTAGGGCAAGTTAAAGTTACCAGATTGCTATATATGACTTCCATATCGTGAAGAGATAGAACCAAAGCATGTTAAAAAAAAAGCGCCTCTGGACAATAGGTTGTTCTGGAGATGGATCTATGGCTATAAGACAGAGGCAGAAAAATACTGATGATGTCGACTGCTTACAGGTAGAACACGTACGGCTATATTTGGAGTGTTGGCGTTAATTAGTGGCTTCCATAAGGTTCATATTAACGTGACATTTTTTCAAAGGAATGAGCCCGAATAAAAGAACAGGCAACAGAAGGCTAAAGTAGTCATACATCTTTTAACAAGATAATAATAAATAATAGTAAATAAGGTTCGTTTATGACGAGTGATCGCGATTGAGGGACTCGTCATTCTTCAGGTTGAGATTCCTTTCGATGCCTTAGGTTGTCTGTACAACCCTAAGTGTAGACTTTACCTGATGTATGGACTTCGTAAATCTAATGTGCATCGAAGCAGGGAAGTTCCTATTTTTCTTCTGGTACAGACGGGTGTCGATACGTTGTTCTTAACCGTGGTTGCAAAATGTCAAGCTGCACGTAATTTACGAATGACCTGTCCGACTTCATACCTATATTAATTCTTTCTATTTAGCTGATCAAGGCTATATTTGGTCTTGAGTCGGATCGAGCATTATGGTGTGAGCGGAGATGCTAACGACGTAACCTGCGAAGCTATCGGCCTTGTAGTAAGAGATTTACTCGGCCAATACAGTTACGAAACACGTACAAGCTCAGGAGAACAGGATTTCAGTATGGCGATCATGCTTGATTTTGACATAAAAACATCTCAAAAATTGACCCCCTCGCCACCCCTAGCTAATGACCCTTTGAAAAATTCGGTCAAGAAGCCTATTCCAAATAGAGCCAAAAATCGTATTTCCGTGTCTTAAGTTGCTACCACGACGACACAATACGTTGTGTCGGTCGAGAAAAGTGTTGTATTTCTAATGTACCTTATTTGGTTTAAAATTTTTACAAGTAGAGTTTGTCAAAGTTAATTTTCCATCAGTGAAGTATTTTCCCCGTAACGATCGAAGCTTCTAGTTGGCTTATACAAAAGGATCTACTGGATAATTGTATACATTGATAAACGTTCAGCGCAACAGTTGCATTTATTCATTGCCCGACATATTGCGCTACTCTAGTACGAGTATACGTCGAGTGTCGAACGCGCTTTCTCCTGGTCGACGGAGAGGGTCCCAGCATTACTGAGAAAGGGTATGAGACCGGTCGCTTGAGAGCGAGGGAAATCAGCCCCATCACGTCCTCTGGGCTTCTGCCTGGCTAGACAATCGGAGGCATGGGGGATCCAACGTTGTCCATGCGATCAACATGACGAATGCGTTATGAATGACGTATGTGAAGTAGCACGAAGAGTTTTCGTGCAAGGTGCTAGTGCCCGTGTTGTGCGCTAAAGGAAATCACGGCCCGAATCTGTCCGTAAATAAGTTGTTACATGAGAGAAACTATAAATGGCAAAACTATGTATTCTTATTGCATGTGAATGAATATATTAGAGATTAGCGAAGGTGATAAAAAGTTTTGCCGAAATCGTAATCTGGTGCGCTAGTGAAGCGGGTGTGCGGCGGTAGTTGAGGGGTTACGCTATGATATAAGAAAAATGGTTATGGGATACTGAAGTGACGAAAGCATCAATTAGAACTTTGATAAACTTGTTGTTTCGTGCTATTGTTGCCAAGCTGACTGATGTGCTCTTATTTGTGCTCTTCAAAACCGAAAAAAAAAAACAAGCCTGAACGGTTGTGTGCTCACGAAAGCTCTTATCTCCAAGATTGTAGTTTACGAAGACATCTATTGTAAGTTGTCAATATACCTATTATTAAACTAGTTCAAGTTCAATGCGTGACCTTAATCGCTTTCTATCCTAGTATATAAGCTATCTCTCTCTATAGTATGGCAGGTGTATATATGCCATACTGCTAGAATACTTGTTTGCAACATTAGCTGAGTAATAGTTTGCCTATAGTTTATGTTATCGACGTGAAGACTTATAGAAGAACTAAGAGATAGAAACAGCTAATAGATTAGTTCTTTCTATCTATTAGTTCTCTACGTACGGAAGCGTAGCCGTTCGTTCGGATTAAGCAAAATCAGCACTTTCATAAGAGAACTGTTAAATTGTCTCTATTCAGTTAACACGAGTCAGCTAAAGAAAGGCGGTCATGTTTTAAGCAATGCAGTAATGTTGAGGAGTACTCTAAATGAGGTATTCAGTACCTGTTTATGACTTCGTTATGGCCAAAGGAGTTTGCATAGAACTTCTAGTCAATTTATTAGATAATGAAGGTCTTTATGCCTCCACAATAAAACTAATAATAAATAGATCGCTAAGGCTAAGGAATAACAGGCAATGCGTATTATACAAGCATATAGTCACACATCATTAGATGTCTCGCATCTTATAGTTCGTATAATAAAGCGGTCAAAAGGTGTAAATAAGGTTAAAAGGCACTGTATTAGGCGCACAGGGGGGGACATTTCTTAAACTGATTCTAAAAATCACAACGCCTTAAAGATCGCGGATTTTGAAATCTTTTTTTTTTTCAACTAAATATAGACCAGTCTACTTGTAAGGGCTAAAATGTAAAAGTATGACAGCTTCATTTATATAGTGGCACATGCATATATATTATTTGGTACTCATGATGTAAACCTTTTTCGTAATTTTTATTGGTCGTGCCAATTTTTTTACGTCGATGTGACATATAATTAATTCATCACGGATTTTGTCGCCAGACATTTCAGCGGTTATGAGAGGGGTCACCCGATTAAACATCAATTTTGTATTAGAAATGTAACCATTCCTTTTTTTGTATCGTTTGAGTATTTTGCTACGTACGCCTTTCTATGTCTACGAAACCTTATATGCGTCCTACTATATAACTGAGTTCAGAATGTATCTATTGTACGGTAAAATCCAAGTGTATTCGGGAATGTATTATAGAGCACCGATCAGACATTTGCGAACTTTCCCACCATCGGATTGGAAAGGAAACTTGAAGCAGCTGCACATATGACTTTGAAGTAATATCAAACATATCTCGAACCATGGCCCAAGCTGATAAAGGGGTCCAGGGTTTAGTGGGTGAGAGTCCCACAGTACCGGACAAAGCACAATTCAGTGATGTCCGGTCTGCATAATGCATTTGCCTTAACCTCCAAAAAAAAAAGCTGCACATATGACAAATATTTTACGCGACTTCTCTCGTCACTCAGTGACTGCATAAACACGATTGATGACACTGGGAGACGACTTAAATTAGCTTATATGTGACGAATGTTAAACGCAAACGTCCGCCTAGACAGGTTCGTAAGCTTTCTTCGTAAGGAATTATATGACATGACTACAGTATCGTGTAATTTTCATACTCTGTTTACTGTTTTTCGGTACGGAGAACACACGTGGAGAGTGCGTGGCTACGAAGCCAAGCAGGCGCATTTGACGGATCTTTGACGGAAGCAATGCCCTAAATGCCTTAAGCTATGGGGTACTTATTTGATCTGGAGGTCGTTTAAGGGAAATCCTTGAACGCCTGGCTGGAACTTTCCTGAAGCTTGAACTTAAAAAAAGCGAATTGTATTTACAAACGCACATTCTCCATGATTGTGACCGAATCAAAGGAGAATGAGTTGTTTCAAAATTTATGGTTGGCACTGCCGGTATTAGATATCGCTGCAGAAGGCTGGCCCGTCCCCGCACGAACCATACCTCATTTGTCCAAAATTTATCAGGTTAGTACATTACCATTGCAGCATCAGAGAAACTACTGTAGTTGAATTGTGATTTAGATGAATCTTAACCCAAGCAATACTTTTCGTCTACCTATTCCTACCATGTTTGGCGAAAAAGAAACTTTGAAAAAGTCGCTGGTGTATAGTTAAGGTCAGATCTTAGAGATTCGATGCTAGATGAATTGGAATATGAACAAGATCTGTAAAATGATAAAACAAATTTATATAACGTCAGTCTATAGACTAAAGTCCAGGTTAGGAAAACCTCGAAGCTAGACTAACTGACCGATAGCGATAGGCCAATTTCGTGTCAATCTGAGCTCCGTTGAATTAACCGACGAATTTATCGTTCGGATACTTTACGTCGTCATACAGCGATCAGGGATGATTTGAACTCGCTTTAATAAATAGTGCTGCGGCGTGAGCTTTATCGGGAATCATATACAACTTCCTTTAGCTCGTTTGAAAGAGTCACGTGCTGAGACCTAAGATCCCACTACTTAAGTATTCGTCCGACATTGTAGAACTACTTACTAAGCGTTGGACCTCGTGCCTTTGGGCCTTCACTTAGCGGTGGAAAAAATAATTTTGGCGTGTTTGTGGGACGTCAAGATGATCGCAGATGTGTTATTGGGTCTCTTTGTTTTGTATGGAAGCGTTAAACTTTACAGGTGGACTGTACACCAGTGGACAGTTTGTGCTTTTATATATTGCTTTTAAAAACAGCCACTAGCTTATCGGAGAAATAAAGATAAACGTAACGATGTTACTCATATTGGAAACCAACAATTATGCCCGTCATACTTTCCGTTATATAAAAAAAATTAAATAAAGGATCAGTTGTAGCTTCGTGTTGCTTTCCTTTGTATTTTAAATGAAGTGTCCATTTAAATAGCAATATTATTTTACGATCAGCTGCATCAATTACAGATATGATAACTTTACATCGGTATTAAGTAGCTCGTAATAAAAATGCATACTTAGGTAGCTAATAACGTAATAAGCAAAATACGTTGCATTCCTAGTAGGCATAGATAAAAAAAGAACAGGTTTTAAGTCTTCACCCTAGGGCTTCAAAAAGAGCCCCTGAAAGGTCGCTAGTAAGAAAGCTGTACGACTCTCGAACGCAAAACAAGAAACCGATTTTTAGCTATAATTGCAGTTATTAAAGAAAGTTAATGAAAAGTTAAAAAAAATTATACCAGAATGGCCAAAGAAAACCATTCCTTGTTCATAGTTAAGTGGCATAAATTATCAATAAAACTTTCGTCCCTTCTTCCGGTGTGTGCGAGTAGTTTTCTCATTACTGCAAAAATATACCTGGCTTAATTTAGTCAACAGCAGTGAATTCCACATAAATATGAAAGTGGTAGTAGGGCAAATATTATTGCCATCTACGAAATTGTTTATAGCGGCATTTCCAGTAAAAACATGCGCGAATTCAACTTGCCAACAAATTATATGCGCAATAGCAAAAGTTGAGCCTTAGGTAGGACCGACAGTCAATGTTTAACATCAGACCGATTTGCTCTTAAATGCCTTAGGTATTCTTCGAGATAATTCAAAAAAGATTTCCACTTTTTGCCAACACTTTGCCCTCGCCTATACCATTGCCCCCTTTGCCTTTGCGATAGCATAACGTGTTTATCTGCTAAAATCAGGGACAAGAGTGGGTTTTTAGCTAAATATACGGGCATAACCACACTCAAGCTGGCAGTCAGATACCTGAAGTAATGCCTACCGGCCTTAGCACAGGACGTAGATCACCGAAAATATCTTGTTGTATCATTTCCCCCAAGGATCTAATCTGTCGGCTGGAGATTCCGGGAGTGTTGCTCTTTACAGCAATATAAGTATACGAATATCTATAATCACTCCCTCGAAGATGTGAGTTAATTGTAACTGCGCGGCGCGATTTTTTGTTTTTCAATTGTTGCTAACACTATTCTTTTCAGTAGGCCCAGGGAAAAGCAGTCCTATAACAACTTTTTTTTGCTTATATATTCCATGAACACGAAGAGATAGAATAGAGAAAGGAAGAGGGCAAATAAAACGTTAAGGACGCTTAAAAACTGCAGTAAAAAAATGGCTGAATCCTCCTTCAACCCAGTGCATCTCGTCCGTCGTTTTCGAACATCACGGCAAATTCGAGTTCTACGAGCTCTACTTCTACGTAAAGAGAAACACAAAATAGACGTCATGAATATTTAGCGCTCGACGATTTTTATACTGTCGTGATTTCATTTTTTACGTTGGACGAAAGATATGAAACATTTTAATTAACACGTATATTACTTTCTTTCGTGCGGATGCAACGCAGTTACAAATACAATAGCGGGCTCAGCTATAATATTTACGCACGTCCGAATCTCATTGATAAGATCAAAGCGTTACTATAGATGTTCCGGCTGAGATCTCTGACTGAAGCAGTGATTCTAACGTCTCATGGTTAAAGCTTAACGGAATCATCTGAAATGTCATCTTTCAATGTTCCCGAGCTCATTTGTGTTTTGTTCGATCTCATAGACAAAGTGATTCGACTGTTTAAGGTTCACGGACCGCGAATGTGTGGTCAAAGTTCGCAACTTGCAAGCAGTCCCACGAATCTCCATTTTTTTTTTTTTAAGACAATGACACCAGCGTCGTCGAAATGTGGTTATTAACGAAAATACCAGTACATCTTAACAAATGAATACTTGTGAGAGTCAACATTTCGAGCAACGACAAGACCGGTCAGACGAGATAGTCAACTGTCTATCTGTAGCATATCATTTATAGATGCGGGGGCCGATCATAAGAAGTGGCTGATGCTATATGGTATTGCCTACGTCATGACATTTTCATTGTTTAGGGGCTTTTGTTCCAAGCTATGACGCCATTGTGACTCGCTTTAGAAAACTTGCTAACCGCTATTCATGACATTGTAAATTTATCACACTCAAACAATTATTTAGGTAACGTTAAAAAAAACAACAAAATGAGCATGCTAATGAAAAGTTTAGTTGAAGTTAACTTTTGAATAAATGCATACTGACATCAGAATTTTGATTTAGCTAAATGGTAC